CAGTGTGGAGGAGAAATGGCATATAACTGTCATTTGTCATAGATTCAGAGGTGTTATGATATCCTCAATGCTGGATACAGTTATGTAACAAAAATAATTGTCCTATGTCCTACTCTATCTCTGCATAACTCATCTAACCATTGTTCTAGTTATCTAAGGCACAAACCTAGCTTCAGTGTGGAAGGAGCACTGGCTTTATATTTACTAAACTGACAGACAGGTAAGCACCCAGTAAACAGGAAAAATCAAACTTGGTTCTGTGTAGACTTTTATGGTAAGTAGTATACCATTCATAGACAGTACTGCCTCTGTGACATACATCTGCTTTAGCCCACAAATGACTGTCCTTTTTGTGATTTTACAGCTAGATGTATGCATATGACATCTTGTAGGCCAGCTGTGCACAAATATGCTTGTATGTAATGCAAATCATCTAACTAAAAATCTCTTTCTTTTATTTCTGATTATTACAACTAGAGCATTGTTTCTTTTTAAAAGTTCTTAAAAAACAAACAAACAAAACTTCTTATATATACATTGCATCAAGTGTAAATGTCATCATAGAAAAAGAGCTGTGGGTCTGATGTCATTTAGAACTATCACTATAAAAGTGTAAGGTGTGGACCAGGGCAGAAAATTGTAGCAAGTAATTATGATCAATCTGAGTTAGCGCACATAATACAATGTTCTATTATCCTGATTACTTTGGGAAGGCTGTTTAAATTCTCTGGCTTTCTTTTTCTTCAGTTGTAATGTTTCATTGTGAGGATAAAATGAAAATTAATTTATAGGTATCAGAAAATGTTGAATGAGGGTGGAGAGACGGCTGCATAGTTAGTCCACTTGCTGTTCCTGCATTGGACACTGGTTCAGCTCCCACAAGGCAGCTCACAATTAATTATCTATAACTCCAACTCCAGTGGATCCATCACTCTCTTGTGGTCTCTACTACACTACGCACTACACACACAGCGCATACATATACAAACATGCAGGCAAACAATCACACAGAACAAAACAAATTTGTTTTTGGTTTTTTGAAACAGGGTCTCTCTATTATGTAGTTCTGGATGTACTGGAACTTGCTATGTAGACCTGCCTCTGCTTCCCAAGCTCTGGGATTAAAAGCATGCACCGCCTGGCAAAAATATTTTAAAAACTAAATAAAATTTAAACGATTAAGTTTTCTCCATTTTCTACCTTTTATAGCTTAAGTCTATACTAAGCTAACTTCCTAAGGTTAGCTTCAGGGGCTGTCTCTAGTCAGCTCTGAAGCTAATGCCACACAAAATAACCACAGTGGCTACTGTTAGGGAATGGAAAGAGCGTAGGCTTGGGAACCACAAGATTTGGCTCAAAGTACTGAATGTCATCATATATCACTATTATGGAACTTTGTTAAAGACTCAATTTCTATAAAATGAGATGACAGATCAACCACACCATTGCTTTGGGTTTTAAATAAATTAATGAATGTAAGTGCTCACCATTGCACCTGATGTAGAATGTTTCATAATGCTGGCTTAGTATTATTATCTTCAGCATAATAAGGAAAGACAAGTGAAAATGACAAAGCTGCATATTTTGGGGGGACAGTTTGTCATGTACTGGAGGCTGACCTCCCAACTACAGGTAGCTTGAGCTTTTGATCTTCCTGCCTCCAGCTTTGAGTTCTGGAATTACAGGCTTGCACTGCTGCCTCTGGCTTATGCCAGGATGATGAATCGAACCCAGGGCTTCATATGTGTCATGCAAGCATTCTATCAATGGAGTTACATTACCATCTCACTGTTTAAGTGTGTTTTTAATTTAAGGCAATCTTTAAATCACTACCAAGTGGAAATCTGGCACTACTTGCCACAGAAAAAAGTAACTTTTAAGTACAATAAAACAACATTTTTATCACTGTTCTCTCTAGAAACATCTGAACCTGATACTCTCTTTGTTAAAGTGAGTGATTCCTAAGTGATCTGGACATGTCAAGAAATAGCAGGCCTTTCTTCGGATGTCTCTGAAAATGATTAGAATAAGTGAAAGCTGTTACTTATTTTAATGTGGAGTGACTGTCCTGCCTGAAGTAATCTTAGAGTTCTGTCTCCGTAGAAAAACACTGTAAGAAAGCAGTGAGGAAAGAACACCTCCACCTTAGGAGGTGAAATGACCATTACAATTCTTCACATCTCTGTAGCAGTCTTACAGCTTTTGAGATACTTAATACCTCAGCATCTCAGCAGTCCATTACAGTTGTTTGCTAGAATGGAGATTATGAAATTCACTTGACTGGATGCTAGCAGGGCTAAAGGTAATAATAATGCCTTTGGCTCACAGTCAGTACTCTTAACAACAGAATGGAGAAGGGTAGTTCATAGATAACTTACTGATGGTTGGCCAGTAGCCTAACAGTATTAACAACGTTTACTTGAACACTAAGTACATCTCGGGCCCTGTGCTAGAAAGGCTTTTCAGATATCATCAAACATAATCCTCATGACTGTTCTACCTGTTAGGCTGGTACTGTTATCATCCCCATTTGACAGACAAAAGTAAAACAGAGGTAACTGCCAAGGTCAACCTACCAGTAGGGGCGCGGTGTAAACTCGGTTAAAGTGACAGAATCCCTGCACTTTCTTGACCAAGGTCACCCAGGAGTGAGGTCGGCAGGATAGGGGGAGGGTACTGACCTGTCAGACACTTGTTCCTGGGTGAGCTTCTTGTCGCTCTGCAGAAGGATTGATACGTAGTGGCGGATCATGCCCACGAAGAAAGTGATAATAACGATGGGCAGGACCACCCAGAGGCGGATGTTCGAGTCGAGCAGCAGCTCGGGTCCCGCCATCTTCGCTGAGAGTTGGCTGTGGGCTGGGAGGAATTAGGTTCCTCCTGGATTTGGGCTTGGGGCCTTCACCCGTTCCTCAGTCTGGCCGGTGTGGAATCTGGGGCAGCCTAGCTTTTCCGCGCACTGTTTCCAGCTGGGCCGCCAGGCCGCCAACTTCCGGCGCGGGCGAGTGACGTCACGACGTGACTCGGCTTTGATGGCGTCAGAACGGCGTCTCGTCTTGTCAAGCGGGAAAGTTGAAAGTGAAGGGTGTCTCGCAGGTGAGTGGACTTTTAGGTTTTCCTGGAAGCCAGATGGTATCTCTCCTAAGTCAGATAGCACTGACTTGCTCTAGTGTTTGCACCAAAACAATGGTCAGTGGTTACATGTAGTAGGTAACGCATTTTAAGAAACTTAGGATAATAAGTTTTAACTTTTGAAATATTTTTTGGTAAGACTTATTTAATGTTTATGTTTTGCCCTCCTGTGTTTATGTACGCCACATGCATACAGGAAACCGAGGGTGCTCAGGATCCTCTGGAACTGCAGTTACAGGCAGTTTTGAGCCACTTATATGGGTAGGAATGGAACCTGGGTCCTCTGCAAGAGCAGTAAACTCTCTTAATCCCAGAGCTATCGCTCCAGCCCTGGAACGTTAACTCTCGATAGAAACCATTCTCATAATTAAGAGACGCCGGGCGGTGGTGTCGCATGCCTTTAGTCCCAGCACTTGGGAGGCAGAGGCAGGTGGATCTCTGAGTTACAGGTCAGCCTGGTCTTCAGAGCGAATTCCAGGAAAGCCAAGGCTACATAGAGAAACCCTGCCTTGAAAAAACCCGATAGTAGTAATAGTAGGAGTAGTAATAATAATTACAAATATAATTAAGAACTAATGACGGAAGCACATTAAGACCATTGGGCATTAAGACCCATGCCTGTAGTCATAGCTTTCAGGAGGTGGAGGCAGGAGGGTCAGTTGCTAGTCACCACTGGCTGTATGTGAGTTCCAGACCAGACGGCTACCCAAAACCTTAGCATTTGAAAATAAATTAAAGAGCACAGACTCTGGCCTATATGAGGCCCTGTCTAAGAACTGAAAATAAATGAATAAAACAAGGAGTGCAGATTCCTGAACCAGGCTCCCAGAGTTAGACCCTCAGCTCTTTCCCTGAGTAGGAAAATAATAATGATATCTGTCTCCAGTTTGCACGTGAGAAATAAGTGGGTTTGTTTGTTTTTCAGACAGGGTCTCAGTGTATATCTGTAGCTGGCTGGAATGTAATGGTTGCTATGTAGACCAGCCAGTCCAATAGACATGGTGAGGCTCTGTCTTAAAAATAAGCAGGTGCTGGAGAAATAGCCCAGTGGTTGAGAGCATTGGCTGCTCTGCAGAGGACCTGGGTTTGTTTTCCAGCACCCACAACCATCTGGAACTTTACTTCCAGGGCATCTAACGCCCTCTTCTGGCCTATGTGGGCATCAGGTGCTCTGCACACGGTTCGCATACATGTGTACAGGCAAATAGTCATGCACATAAAATGCCTGTGGCGTTGAAAATGAAAAAAAAAATGTTCAGAGGAATTGTTCCTGCTTTTCTTCACCACTCCACCTATGGGTAGACTGCCTGTCCTCGTAAGCCCTTGTCGTATTCCTGTGCTTTTCTTAGGTTGCAACTACAGAAATGTCGTTACATACGTTAAGACCTTGTTATGCTGTACACTTCCTGAGGGTAGGGATGATGGCCTGTCTTGTTTGCAGGGTTTGATGTTTGTCTTGTAACTACCATGCTTAGCACCATCCCTGACATAGTACTGAAGTAACTACCCGACAAGAGAGCAGGTAGATGACGCTGATGCCCTTGAGTCTAGGTGAAGAGCTACGGGGTTTCTCCTTGAGCAACAGAGACGTAGCCTGGGGAAAGAAACAACTAGGTCAGTAAGTCTTGAAGAGAGACTGGCCAGCTGTAGCAGTTGAACTGTGCTCAGCATTTGGGTTCAGACAGGACTGATGTGAAGACTCAACTGCTCTGCTTATAGCTAGAATAGCTTGGGAATGACTTCTAGTCCCTATGTTAGTTCTTTTGGTTTAAGGTAAGCAGTGCACCACTGAGCTAAATTTCCAACTCCTGAATTTATTTTTATTTTTATTTTTTTAGGAAGTAATATAAGTACAGAAGACATTGGTCAAAATGGTTTCCAAAAGAAGACGGTTAGACTCTGGGGAAAGAGAAACCCTGGCAGAAGATGCCTCCAGTAAGTATCTAACCTTTCACTGTTGGACATGTATCACGAATGTGAGATAGGAAAAGATGCAAAATTCCTACTTTTTGATTGAGTACTGACATCTGTCAAGAATTGATGGAGAAAATACAGAGATGCAGACTGTTGTCTTTTTTTTTTTTTTTTTACCTTTTTCTTTTTTGCTTCTTTGCGTGGGTTCTTCATGGGTTCTTCTCTTAACTGTCTCCCAACAATATCTTCTTTGGCTCAGTGCAGCTTCTCCTGGCTCAGCTACCACCAGTTGTCTTCTCTTCTTCTGCTGCTAGCCTAATTGACTTTCAACTGTTTCCTATTTTCACTCTGCTCAAGCTCTTCTCTATCTCTACTCAAGCTTCCTGCACCAACTGTCTTCTCTGACCCTACTCCAATCCTACTCAATCTCACTCAGCTGGCTTTTTACTTTTGTTTTTTCGAGACAGGATTTCTCTGTATCACCTTGGCTGTCTTGGAACTTGCTCTGTAGATCAGGCTAACTTTGAATTTACAGAGATCTGTTTGCTTCTGTCTCACAAGTGCTGGGATTAAACACGTGCACCACCATGACCCAGCGTCTGCTGGCTTTTTTAATATCCTCTTCTGCTCCCAGAAGTCCAAGAGCCAATGACACTGAAGGACATAGGGTCAACTGGGAATCCTTTTAAAAGGCCAGGCACACAAAATAACTCACACTACACAGAGAGTCTAGGAGATTAAGGATTGAGTTTCTACCTCAAATGCCACTTAGGACTTTTGGACAAGTCTCACTCTTCACCTTCATAAAAATTATTACAGAAGCTAGGCAGATGATTCAGTGTTTAAGACTACTTGATGCTCTTTCAGGGAACCCAGCTTTGATTCTCAGCACCCACAAGGCAACCCATAATCATCTTTACTCCAGTTTAAGGAGATTCAGTGCCCTTTTCTGGCCTCAGAGGACACCATACATTTAGGTTCAGATAGGCAGGCAGTCATACAGATAAAATAGAAATAAATCTTTATAAAAATTATTATATATTATCTGGGTCCTAGAACACAAAGATAAAAAATCTTTACCCTTTAGAAAAGCAACTGGTTCAAACACGGTGAGACACACTTTTAATCCCAGCACTTGAGACACAGAAGCAGGAGGATTGCTATGAGGTTGAGGCCAACCTGGTCTATATATTGATCTCTAGGACAGTCAGAACTACATGCACTGTCTCAAAAGCAAAAAGAATAGAAAAAGAGAAAGAAAAGTATCTTGTCTTCTTTTGTCTCTAAAAAGGTACAGTGTGCTACAGTATCATAACAACATAGTATGTAAATACTGTGATAGTGACATATAAAGAAAAGTCATATCAAAGCAAGCAAGCCCCAAGCAAAGCAATAGTGTATACTTTGACAAATGAGAATTCAGTTAACAAAGATCCTAAGAGTTCTGAAAAGGGGGCTGAGGGATGACTCAGCCAGTAAAGTGCTGGGCAGGCATGAAGACTTGAGTGTGATCCCCAGAACCACTGCAAAAATGCTGAATTGTAATCCCAGTGCTAAGGTGGTGAGGTCAGAAGGATTCCTATGGCTTGCTGGTTAGTCAGCCTTATGTACGCAGCTTTGTTTCAGAAATTAAGCTGAGGATGTTGAGGTTGCTCATCAGGTAAAGGCATTTGCTGTGCAGGCCTGGCAGCCTGACTTCATGTAGGAAAAAACTGTTGTTTTTTAAAAAAATGAAAATCCCAACCATTTTATTTTACCAATAAAGACTCAGAAACCAGATGCTGGGGTGAAAACCTGCTAGCTCAGAGAGGTAGAGAAAGCACCCAACTGACCTTCCTTCTCAGCTGAGGTCCAGATAGCAAAAACCCAAAAGGCTCACTAGCTCAGCTGATAGCTCAGGAGGAAAAGGCCAAAAAGCCCAAGGCCTAAGTTAAAGCCAAAAAGCTCTAAAAACCGGTGGCGGCTTCTCCTCCTCCTCCTCCTCCTCCTCCTCCCCCCCCCCCCCCCCTCCTCCTCCTCCTCCCCCCCTCCTCCTCCCTGTTTTAAATACTCCTCAACTCAAAATCCCTCCTACTCTTTAATCCCTGTCAGATGATTTCTTCCTCCACCTCTTGACCTAGAATTTTATTAAATCCTGTGTACGGAAAGCTCTTGTGGACTAGGGCTGGCTGAAGCACACCATAATCTTAATCATAATGATAATCTTTACAGTAAACAGAAAGTTCTTGGATTCAAGATATGTGTTAGGGCTCAACCAAACAAACAATAAACAGGGTTTTACAGTTCACAGTCTCGGGGTTCACAATGGGATCAAATATCCTGCAGCAAAGAACCTATTCCAAAATTGTGCTCTGACCTTTATGCCATAGTATGTAGGTCTACACATGTTTTAGAAACACATATGTATCTTAAGTAGTAACTACAAAATTTTAGATCAAGTTGGCTGCCTCCCAAGGAACAGTTGATGTCCCCACACACACACCTTCATACATACAAAAGCAGTTCTGGGTTGCATTTTGTATTTATTTAGGAGCCTTCTTGGTTGATTTTGTTTTTCAGACAGGGTCTTACGTAACCCATGGTCTCAAACTCACTTCCTGAGTACTGGGATTACAGGCATGCCCCACCACACCTGACCTTTACCATCCTGTCTGCTAGCTTCCAACTCAAGATCCTGTTGAGTAACATTTAGAATTATTCCAACTCAAGGTTGAAACCCCTTTTCCTTCTTCAGCACTAGGAATTGAACCCAGGACCTCAGACATGATAGGTATGTGCTCTACCACTGAGCTACTCTTCTAGCCCCCTTTCTGCTTTATATTTTTATCGCTAAGTTGCCTACTCTGACCTTGAACTGAATCTCATAGCCCAAACACATCTTGAACTTTCCATTCTTTGGTCTTAGACTCCCAAGTAGCTGGGATAACAGGCCTACACCAGAGACCAAGCAGGAAAAGCTTAATTCAGAAGAGAAACTCTAAATTTCTAGAAGTCTCTTAGTAAAGGTATTGAAGAATGCCAAAAATTGGTTGAAAATTTGAAACTGAAAAAAAAAAGTAACTTAGAAAATGGTTAAACAGGCTCAGCATGGTGGCAAATGCTTTGAATCCCAGCACTCAGGAAGCATAGGCAGGCCTATCTTTTTGAGTTCCAGGACAGTGTGATCTGTGTCATGAATTCCAGGTTAGCAGGGCAGCATAGTGAAATCTTGTCTCAAAACAAAAGAAAAAACACCAGAAAACGGGTAAACATAAAGCTCATCCTCTGGAAATGGCATTTTCCAAAAGAGAATGTGGGTTGGAGATGTGCCTCGGTTGGCACAGCACAGTGCCTGCCCAGCATACCTGGGCTCAATCCACAATGCTAGGAAAGGGGAGAGAAAGTGGATGAGGAGGGACTAGGTCTTGTGCTCTTAGTGAGAAATGAGCAAACTAAATTTCCCATTCTGATTTTGATTAAGTAGAAAAAGAGTCCGAATTACATCAGGAGAAAAAGTAGAAAAACATAGTGAAACCTTGTCTCAAAACAAAAGCAAAAACACCAGAAAATGGATAACTATAAAGCTCATCCTTTGGAAATAGCATTTTCAATGCTATGTAGAGTTCTTGCCTGGCACATTATTTTTCAAATTCCGGTTCCTGCTTTGTTTGTTTGTTGTTGTTTATAACATGTTTAAAGCCTTAGGATGAATCAACCCGAGCTTTGTACTGAAAGATGTGGTGCAGAGGAGTCTGTGCTGTTCTGTCTGGTTTTGTGGACAGATCATCAGTGAGAACATGAATCAGTATTGTCACCCTAAGAGGTTGTCAGGGCTTCAGACTCCAGGAACCATTCTCAGGATTCTCCTGTAGCCCTGGAGTGTAGCTCGGGCTGTACATTATAATGAGCTTTTCATCAACTGCAGTGAGTATCTGAGAGGCAGACACTACGTTAGATTTTAGGTAGAAAATGTGTCTGTGGTTATTCTTGTTCAAGTGGCACATTTTGTGTTCTTTATTGAAAACTCCCTTGATGAATGATACTTTATTTGGCAGCTCTTTTTTTTTGTTTGTGGAGAAGCCACTGTTGCTGACCACCGTTGGAGATAGTTCATTTCAGTTGGTGTGATTCTTCAGAAGCACCTCAGATTCCTCTCAGAACATTTAGTTCTGGGTTTGCATTTTAATCTTTGCGTTCTTAATTGTTATTTTTTTGGTCATATTCTTGAAGGCTTTGTGTTTGTTTGTATTTCCAGAAATCATGAAGCAATCCCTTTCCAAACTGGCAAAGAAATCTCATGATTCTCATGAAGTTGAAGAAAATGGCAGTATCTTTGTAAGGCTTCTTAAAGCATCAGGACTCACTCTTAAAACCGGAGAGAATCAAAATCAGCTAGGTAATATTCAAAATAAGTTTTTGAGTTCAGTTACAGTGCTCAGGACTATATCATGGATTACTAGACAGGGAGACTTCTGTCCTTAGAGAAGAGTGAGATTGCCTTTTAGAGAATGTGCTCATGATCAAAATCTTAATGTTCTAAGGCTTGGTAAATAGCACATTTTTAGAAAAATAATTTGTATACTACTAGTAGTCCTTTGTGACACACACATACATATGTTGTATGAGCATCCCTGCGTGTGCGCGTGCGTGTGTGTGTGTGTGTGTGTGTGAGTGTGTAGATACCCAGGAAGCAAGCAGATCTGTGTCAGAAGAAAATATGGCAAGCCATATAAGTCTGGAAACATGTTTCTAGGGCACAGATATGTTTCACTAAGTGTAAGATAGGTTACTTATAGAATACTTGGTGTCTAACATCTACTAGTTTGAGTCTTTTACATTAGATTTAGATGTTTTGGCTGAAAATATTCTTAGCAGGGATGGAGAGCTGGCTCAGTGGTTAAGACCATATACTGAGATGACTCAGTGGTTAAGAGTAGATTCTGGGGCTGGAGAGATGGCTCAGGTTAAGGGCACTGGCTCTTCTTCTAAAGGTCCTGAGTTCAATTTCCAGCAACCACATTGTGGCTCATAACCATCTATAATGAGATTTGGTGGCCTTTTCTGGTGTACAAGCCATACATCAGCAGAATATTGTAAAAATAATAACTAAATATTTAAAACAAAACTAAAAAAGAGTATATACTGTTCCTCTAGAGGAGCAGAGTTTGATTCCAGCAGCCACATCAGGTGTCTGTAACTCCAGCTCCTAGCCAGAGCCTCTGCACAGACTTTCACATAATTGAAAATAGTAAAAATGAATAAATAATAGAATTTTTTAAGAAGAAGGAAAGAAAATATTCTTTGTGGCATAAGGAAGCCTGTCTTTAAGGGAGGAGGCTGTAGTAGATGTTGAGCAGCTGTTCTTCCTTCCTGTTTCTTCCTAGGTGTGGATCAGATAATCTTCCAGAGGAAGCTCTTTCAGGCCTTGAGGAAACATCCTTCTTATCCTAAAGTATGTACTCTCTGTGGTGCTTCTGCCAGAAGTGCATGGGATGAGGACTGTAAGACTGGCACACCTCTGAGTGGCTGATAACAAACGGTCAGCCACAGAGCTTAACCTCTCCTGTCCTTGTTTAGGTAATAGAAGAGTTTGTTAACGGCCTGGAGTCCTACACCGAGGACTGTGACAATCTCAGAAACTGCCTGCTGTCTTGTGAGCGCCTGCAGGATGAGGAAGCCAGGTATGGAGAAGGGCTGCCTCCCGAAGTTCAGTCTGGCAGCAACCGGATTGGGCACAGGAAATGCAGTTTTCTTTGTTTTACAATTGCACTTTTGATCTATAACTCTTTTTGACTCAGAGTTTAAGTATAACCTTAAAAGTATTTAATTTGAGGCTAGACGGCAAAGAACTGGAATACTTTATGAAACATGTCTTACATGTACGGAAGAGATTTCACATCTCTGTGGCTCCCTTACTAAGCTGTCTTCCCATGTTCATATTTTTTTTTCTAGTAAGACTATACTTCTGTCTATGTATGTATGTATGTATGCATTTATTTTGAAGCAGGGTCTCATTATGGAGCCCTGCCTATGGACTTCCTATGTAAAACAGGCTACCCTCAAACTCATAGAGAGAGGTCTGCCTGCTATTTCCTCCTCTGAATGCAGGGACTAAAGGCCTCTTCTTTCAAGCCTAGCTTTGAGTATGATCTTGAAGGATTGTGTATTTAACCAATGTAATATAGGAAACATAGTCAAACAGTAAAACAAAGTGAACAAAATAGGAACCAAATGCCTCTCTGTTTTACAGCATGGGCACGTTTTACTCCAAGAGCCTCATCAAGCTACTTCTGGGGATTGACATTTTACAGGTGAGACCACACCACCTCCTGAGAACGTGATGGATGCGATTTGGGGTAATAGTAGAGCAGGGTTAGTGTGGTCGGCAACAGCTCTGTAGAGTACTTGGTGGGATTAGTCTGTAAGCCATGTCTGTGTTTGGATTGCTTTTAGGCTGCTTGCTCTTGCAGTCCTATTCATCTCCTAAGCATATGATTCTTGTTTGTTTGTTTTTTTAACATTTTAAATTGGTATGTATATGAGTGTGCTGGTGCCTGCAGAGGCCAGAGGCGTCAGGTCCCCTGGAGCTGGAGTCACAGTTTTCAACCACCAGATATGAATCCTGGAAACCAAACTGGGGTCCAGTACACATTCTTAACAGCTGAGCCATCTTGGTAGCCCTGATTGATTCCTCTCTCTTAGCTACACGCTGTGCATTCTGAGAATTGTGTAATTGCTGTGTGTTCTCATCGGCGCCATCACTTATGTAACTTGACTTTGCCTTTTATTTCGCTTAAAAAAAAAAATTGGTGTATGCGTGGCAGGAGTGGGGGTATTTGCTGTGAATATAGGTTGTAAAGATGCCTGATTAGGCCCGGGTGTTAGGACCCCAGATCTGAAGTTAAAGGTGGTTGCAAACTGCAGGACATGGGTTCTGAGAATCAAACCTGAGTCCTCTGGAAGAGCAGGAAGTACTCTTAACCACTGAGCCTTATCTCCAGCCCCCTCCTCTTTTTAATTTATTGAATCGCCAGGACATTGACATGTCTTAATGCTTCAAATTGAACAAAGCCATGTAGTGAACAGTATCTTTCCCACTCACCCTCCCTTTTCCTCTTCCTTATTTTCTTCTTCATGTACTTTATAATCTTATTTTTCTTTGGAAATCTTGACTATAATTTAGTTATCTCATCTCAAAGAGCTCCATTTTTATCTGAAAAGACCTCCTTTGAAAACATAATCTTTTCAAGTCTGCATTTCATGGACTAACAGTTACCATATTTAATTGTATTTTTAGTATCTGATTTTAATATTTCAAAAGGAAAATTATTGATGTCTTCATATTACAGCACTTCTATTCAAAATGTAGACAGTATCTGTGTGAACATTCTTTTTTTTTTTAAATTATTGAATACACCGAGATTTTTATTGTCGTTATTCACCAATCACACAGAAATGTAGCAACATTTAAACAATCCTCACATTATTGTATTTATTTATTTATTTATTTATTTATTTTAGAGATTTATTTATTACGTTTACAGTGTTCTGCCTGCATGTATGCCTGCAGGCCAGAAGAGGGCACCAGATCTCATTATAGATGGTTGTGAGCCACCATGTGGTTGCTGGGAATTGAACTCAGGGCCTTTGGAAGAGCAGACAGAACTCTTAACCACTGAGCCATCTCTCCAGCCCCTGTGTGAACATTCTTAGAGGGTATCAGTTATATTAAGATTTTTTTCTTAAGAGCTCTGGGGGGAGAAATTTATGAATAATTGTACATCTTCATTCATTAATTTATGTATGTATGTACGTACGTATGTATTTATTTTTGGTTTTTCAAGACAAGGTTTCTCTGTATAGCCTTGTTTATCCTGGACTTGCTTTGTAGACCAGGCTGGCCTGGAACTCACAGAGATCTGCCTCCCTGAGCGCTGGGATTATAGGCATATGCCACTGCACCCAGCGGGTACATCTTTTTTTAATGGTTGTTATTATAGATAATGAAATAAGCCATCTACTGATCAAATTATTCTGAGGTTTAACTAGTTTCAGAAAAATACACTGAGAACAGGTACATCCACAAATCTCAACTTCATGATTACCTCTTTGCTCATTCTGCTCCCTTTCCCCAGATGTGATTCACAGTACAATTTGTCCACTTTGTATTTGTCCTATCCTCTCAGGCAAAATCTGATGCTTAGGTGCAGTGCTGTCTTAATTAGAAGTATCTGTTATAAACAGTTCAGGACGCCTTCTTCTGGCTTCTTTCACATCATCATCCTGTATGGTGTCATCTCCATTAAACCTAGCTTTCTGAATTCTTCAGCATTACAGTATACCATGTAGCCACTGGCCTGATGCTGCCCTGGCAGGCCTGCTTGCTGTTTTGACCTGATAATTAATGTTTTTCTTTTGTATGCTTTGAGACCCTTGCCTGACTGTGCATGTCTTCTCTTTTAGCCTGCCATTATCAAAATGTTGTTTGAAAAAGTGCCACAGTTTCTTTTTGAAAAGTAAGTGGAATTGTTCTGAAACATTGAGTGTATACTGGTGCTTTTGGACTCTCTGGAAAGTTTCTTTTGAAATATATTATGGTCATGTTTAACATGCCAGGTTTCTGAGTGAGTGCTAACATTTCTTCTGTACTAAGATCATTGTTAAAATATATATCACACAAGTATGAATGTATGATGATTCTTCCTAGAAGGGTACATAATACTCTGGCAGTAGTAGCCATTTCCTAGGAGGGAGCATGTTGCAGTGTTTGCCTTTTATATTTGAAGTTTTGTATGTACTGCTCATATTTTAAAATTGCTGTGTCTGGCCTGGAGAGATGGCTCAGTGGTTAAGAGCATTGACTGCTCTTTCAGAGGACGCCCTCTTCTGCCCTCTAAGGGTACTGCATGCATGTGGTACTCATGCAGATAAAAGACCCATACACATAAAATAATAAATAAATATTAAGAAAAAACCTGTGTTAGAAAGAAAAAAGACCAACCTAGTTAAAAAGGACACAAACATAAAATGTTAAGTATAGGAACATCAAATATTTAAATCTCCAATTTCATTAGCAAAGGCAGAAATTTAAAATAAAAAATAGGGCCCTGTATGGTAGCACTTGCCTTTAATCCCAGCACTAGGAAGGCAGAAGCATGTGGATCTCTGAGTTTGAGGCCAGCCTGGTCTCAAACTTGCAGAGCAAGCTCCAGGACAGCCAGAGCTACACAGAGAAACCCTGCCTTGAAAAACCAAAATAAATAAATAAATAATAGATAAATAAAAATTTTAAATGCATTGAAAGCTGGGTGTGTAGCTCGGTTGGTAGAATCCTTGTCTACCTGAAGACCTGAGTTTGATTTCCATGACCACATGAATTTCAGCACTCCAACAATGAAGGCAGGAGGATCAGAAACTCAAAAAAGTCAGCCTCAGTTATATAGTAAGTTTGAGTCCAGTCCAAGACACTTAAGACCCTGCCTCCAAAAAGAAAGATAAAAGGATGAAATATTAAGTGTATTTTCCCTATATCCAAAGAGCCTTTGTTAAGTATAACAGTTACCAGCATATGTTCTAAATGAGCGTAAATTAATCATTGTGAGCAGTTAAGTTATATGTCTCAAAACCTTAGATTTATGTCTGTTTGCTAGACATGGTGGCCTATGCTTATAATCCCAGCACTTAGGAAGAGGAGGCAGGAAGATAAAGGATTTGGGATCATCCTCAGATACATATTGAGCTCCAGGCCAGTCTGGGCTATGATATGAGACCTTATCTCAAAGTAACAAAAACCAAACATTTTTTTTGTTTTGTTTTGTTTTTTCGAGACAGGTTTCTCTGTGTATCCCTGTCTGTCCTGGACTTGCTCTGTAGACCAGGCTGGCCTCAAACTTACAGAGATCAGCCTGCCTCTGCCTCTCTGAGTGCTGGGATCATAGGTGTGTGCCACTGCTATCAGCCTAACCAAACAATTTTTAATCCCAGCATTTGGTGGATCTATGTGTGTTCAAAGGTGGCTTGAGTGCATAATAAAACCACGTCCCAGCTTATGACCTTTCATTTTATTTTGCTTTTTTGTTTGTTTGAGACAGGCCAACTAGTCTACAACTTGCTATATGGTCAAGACTGATCTTGCCCTCACAATCCTCCTGTTCCTACCTCCCAAGTGTAGGCCTTAGTTTTGTTTTTTAACTCTTTTGTTTACATTTTTTTTATCTTTTTCTCCCTGCTCCAACCCAATCCCTTCCAACACCCCAACACCATGTAGGAGAGAGAAAGGGTTAGTGAGAGAGGGGTCGCAGTTCTCTTAGCTGCTTCCTGCTGGTTAGGGTCATCCGGTTCCTTGGAGCCAATCCAATCTTCATCTCAGGGGATCTCCAACTTCTTGTCTCACAACAGCAGCCAGGAACAGTTCTTTCCTGTTCTGTCTTGGCCCTGGCATTTATTCTCTCTCCAGAGTCCTCAGATTTAAATGATCTGCAGCTGTCAAAGAATTCCTCTTAGAGCCTGCACAAAGCGAATAGTCTGCTGCTATAGACAATCTGAGTCAGTCCCACATCCCACACCTGGGACCAAAACAAAAACGTGTTTATATCCACAATACCCAAGTGCTGAGATTACAAGTGTGTGCCATCTTGTCTGGTGGATTTATTAACTTTATTTCTTTTGGTTTTTCGAGACAGGGTTTCACTGTTTAGCCCCAGCTATCCTGGAACTCCCATTGTAGACCAGGCTAGCCTCGAACTTAAAAGATCCACATGCCTCTGCCTTTCTAGTGCTGGGATTAAAGGCATGCACCACCCATCACCCAGCAAAACAGCTTTATTGAACTATGTATGACAACATATACCTGTATGAGAGGCAGAGGTGGACAGATCTCTTGAATTCAAGGCCAGCCTGGTCTACATAGCAAGTTCTAGGCCAGCCAGGGCTGTATAATAACACCCTGTCTCAAACAAAAGTAAACAAAAAAAGTCACTCATGAGACTGGGTAAATGAGTCAGTCAATAATGTCCTTATCGGAATGTGAAGACCTGAATTTGACCCCTAAAAACACATTAAAAAAAACTAGATATGACAATGTGCAACTGTCATCGGAGCACTGGCAGTGTAGAGACAGAAAGGTCCTCAGGGCTTGCTGGGATTCAGCTTTGCTGAATTGGTGAGCCCCAGGTTCCTTGAGAGAGACTCTTGCCCAAAAAATTTGGTATCAAGTAGCATAGGAAGACACCTGCTGTTGACCTCTGGCCTCCATGTATACAGGTGTCCACATACATGTGTTTACATGGACACATACACATTGTTTGTTTTTGGTTTTTTGAGGCAGGGTCTCTCTGTAGCCCTGGCTGTCCTGGAACCACTTTGTAGCCCAGGCTGGCCTCAGACTCACAGAGAGCCATCTGCCTCTGCCTCCCAAGTTTTGGGATTAAAGGCGTGCACCACTACTAACTAGCTAAATTATTTTTGTTCTATTTTGTGTGTATGGTTGTTTTTGCCTTCATATATGCATGTACACTATGTAAGTGCCTGGTGCCTAAGGAGGCCAGAAGAGGCCCTCCTTCTGTCCTCAGAAGCTGGACTTGTAGTTGGTTGTAAGCCTTTATATGGATGCTTGGAATCAAACCCAGGCCCTATAGGAAGATTGACAAATGCTCTTAACCACTGAGCCATACACTCCAACCTGTCACATTATTTTTAAGAGATATGTATCATCCTTTTTTTCCCTTCTCTGTAGCTATAACCACTATTTTAGTCTTTTTTTTTTTCCTCATGACAAAGCACTATGACCAAGGCAACTTATAGGAGAGTTTATTTGTGGCTTACAGTTTCAGAGATAGTGATGAGGCCCTAACCATCATGCAGGCAGCCTGGCAGCTGGTAGGCAGGAGAAGTAGCCGAGAGCTTACATCCTTATTTGAAAGTTGGAGACAGGAGAACTAACTGGGAATGGTAGAGACTCTTGGAACCTCAAAGACCACCCTCAATGGTACCTCCCCCAACAATCCTTCCTAGACAGTTCTTCCAACTGGGGACCAAGCTTTCATATACATGCACCTATGGCGGCCATTATCATTCAAACCTCCACAGCACTGTTAACAGTATTTTCTTCTAGTCGTCTTTTTTATCATATATGCACATGTCTGGGTAATTTAGTCATTTATTTTGTGTGTTTGGTTATTTTTCCTCCATGTATGTCTGTGAACCACTGTAAGACCTGGGGTCTCACAGCTCAGGAGTTTAAGATCATGCCTTTCCCAGAAACTCCCCCAGACCAAGACTCGTTGCAAAAGCAAGAGGTTTATTAACCATTGCACAATGGGGTCACCCCTGCCGGTCAGCAAAGAGTGGCACCCGGAGACAAAGGCCTTTAGGTTTTTAAAAGAAAAATTGCGGGAGATTTGAAGTTGCAGTCTTGGCAATTTAGGATTGAATGAGGAAGCTATAAAGTAAGATAATTGGTTAGTCTTAGGTGCTCAAGCTTGGCCAGTTCTGCCAAGTGTGGATGCAGCTGCAATTGAAGGTGGGGGTGGTTAGCTCATCCTTGAAGATTAGGGGCTGCGGACTTTTGGCTGCAGGTCAAAAGCTACTCAGAACAAGTCTGGGTTCATTGCTAAGAAATGCTATCTCAAAGACAAGGGTCTGGTCCTTTTTTTTGCTGAGTGAAGGTCATTGCTTGCTTGCCTTTTTTTATATCTGTCCTCACAGATAGGGTCACATTCCTCCATTCTCTGGAAAAGTACTAAGAGGCTTTAGCTTAACCTGAACCTAAAACTCAAAGCTATAGGCTTTAGAAGACATACAGGTTACAAAGTTAGTCTAACCCTTTCACCACATGCATGCCTGCTATCTGCAGAGGCCAGAAGAGGGTGCCAGATCCTCTGGGACTGTAGTTACATATGGTTGTGAGCCACCTGTGGATTGCTAGGAACTGAATCTGGATCATGGTAGAGTGGCCAGTGCTCCTTACTGCCAAGCTGTTTTTCCAGCGCCTCTGTTGGTTTTAATAGGCACATTTGTGTTTCCCACTGTGCCCCATAACTAGTAACTGTATAGTAGTGTTGACTGACTGGCTGAAGTATTCTGTACAGTATGTAAGTTTTCTGGTGCATGGTCAGGAATTGGTGATAGAGCTTAGTAGTGGAGTACCTGCTCAGCATGTGAGTCCCTAGAACCAAACAAAGAAAAAAAAATTCATAGGGAGAGGAACACAGGGAGGGGGAAAGATAAACAACTAAATCTCTTCTCATTCTGACATTTCAGGGAGAGCAGTGATGGAATCAACATGTCCCGACTCATTATCAATCAGCTAAAATGGCTGGATAGAATTGTGGATAGCAAGGTAGGTTTGGGGGCCTTATCAATTTAAAAGTTTCTTACAGCTGGGCAGAGTAATGCATGCCTGCAGTCCCAGAACTCAGGAGGCAGAGGCAGAGACAGGCTGATCTCTGTGAGTTTGAGGACAGCCTGGTATCCATAGTGAGTTCCAGGGTAGCCAGGAATACATACCGAGACCCTGTCTTGAAAACAAACAAACAAACAAACAAACAAACAGAAAGTTTTTAGTCAGTGATGGTGGTATATACCAATAATCTGAGCATTTGGAGGGCAGAGGCAGGAAGGTGGGAGTCAGTTTGAGTGAGCCTGGCTACATAGTGAGACCCTGGTACGTACACACACACACACACACACACACACACACACACACACACACGGAACAAGTTTTTGTATGATTGACCAGACCTTTTCAATTTTTAAGACTTTTTCTTTTTAAATGAAAAATTAATTTTCTTATCAATATGTTACCTTTATCCAACTTTTGTAATTTGAAACTCTTGAGTATTTCACTCTTTGAAAATCTACTTGAAGCTTAGCCTGCATGAAGTGGTGTCCATCCATAATCCCAGCACTTGGGGAGTGAGGAGGGAAGATGTAAAGCCTGAAGCCAGAGAAGGGCCCTATAGAGGCCCTTTTCTGATTTGTAAAAGGCCTGTTGAGTCGGCTCAGTGGGTACAGTGCTTGCTGTGCAAGCCTGAAGACCTGGTCAAGAGCCAAAGCAAAGAGCTGGCTCTACAAAGCTGTCCAGCAGACACACGCCCATAGGCACAGCATGCATGCTTTACTAAAATTTTTCAGAAGACAGAAACTTCCTCAATTTTGAAAATTAAGTATAGTTTATGTTAATTGAAGGCTAGAGCATTGGTTCTCAACCTGTGGGTCCTGACCCCTTTGGGAGTTGAATGACCCTTTCATAGAGATTGCCTAATACCATCTTCCAGAAATATCAGATATTTATATTACAGATCATAACAGTAGAAAATCCCAGCTATCAAATAGCAATGAAAATGATTTATGGCTGGGGGCACCACAACAAGAGGGACTGTGGTAAAGGGTGGCATCATCTGGAAGGTCGAGAGCCGCTGGGCTGGAAAGATGGCTGGGAGGCCATGAGCATGTGTTGCTCTCGTAGGAGACCTGGGTTCAGTTCCCAGCACCCACATGATGGTTCACAACCATCCGTAAATTCCAGAGGATCCAGCAGGTACATAGGTGATGTGATGTGTGTGTGTGTGTTTATGTTTGTGTGTATCCGAAACATTCGTACCACGCAAAGTGTAAAATGAATAAAACTTTTTAAACATTGATAAGAGAGCTGGGTATGGTGGTACATGATTTTAATCCCAGCACTTGAGAGGCAGAGGCAGGCAGATCTCCGAGTTTGAGGCCACCCTGGTCTCCAGAGCGAGCTCCAGGAAAGACAGGGCTGCACAGAGAAACCCTGTCTCAGAAACAAACCAACAAGCAAACAAACCCAACAAAAACAAAACAAAAAGGCAGGGGATCTTTATCTGTGTTTCAGAGTCTTAAGATTATTTTTTATTTCTGAAATGTGATAAGTTCCCAAGCATCTTATTTCACTACAGCTGCTTTAATTTGATCACATATTGAAGATAATTTAGGTAGTTTTTACATGTATGTGATTTATGGAAATGCCTGGTAAAGTTGAACACAGTAGAAGTCCAAGATTTGCTTTGTGCTGATTACTGGGAAAGAAATTGAATATGTTATACCTCATTGAATTTTAATAATACAAGGAACGTGTATTTCTTGTTATGATGACAAGAAAGCTGTTTGAAGGGTGGATTAGCCAAGACCCTGTGTTAGTGGTGGACAGTCCTCTTGAGCCACTGCCTGCGGTCTTCCTCCAGACGCCTTTTTTATTTGTTTCGGCATTTTTGTTATTTTGGTTTTTTGTTTTGTTTTGTTCTTACAGGGTCTCATTATCTAGCCCTGGACGGCCTGGAACTTGCTGTGTAGATCAGGGTGGCCTAGGACTTTGATCCTCCTGCCTCTGCCTTTCAAGTGCTCAGATTGTGAGTGGGAACTACCATGCCCATCTTCTTTTCAGAGGTTCTTAAAATCATTCTTCTAGTTTTTGACTGATACTCCAGACTACATCTTTATTTAGAAAAACAGGGATTTTAGAGTCTCATCTGGGCTGGAATTAGGAGTGTATATTTAACTTGAATATATTCTATGTGCTAGGTCATGTGAATTTAGAGGGGAGGGATTTGCCTTTTTTATGGTATGTGTTCATAGCAGGTGAGTGTGTGCGTGTGTGTGCGCATGCACGTGCAGATGTATGGAGATCAGAGAACAACCTTGGATGTTATACCTCATGCATCATCCACTTTTTAAAATATAGTCTGGTTGGCCAGTGCACCCCAGAGGTCTCCCTGCCCCAGCTTCCCCAGAACTGGGATTACAAGCATTTGCCATTGTGCCTAGCTTCTTTTACCTTGGTTCTGGGAATTGAACTCGGGTCCTCATACTTACAGAAAGCACTTTATCATTGAGTGTATTCTCTCCCCAGCTCCATTTGCCTCTTGATTTAAATTCTGAGCTTGAGTCTATCATGGTCATGTTGTGTACATGATAATTTCCGTCTGTAATGTGCTACACTTCTAATAATGTTCTTCCTGCAGGACCTCACGACTCAGATGCTGCAGTTGATCAGTGTTGCTCCAGTGAACTTACAGCATGACTTCATCACCAGCCTTCCTGAGATCCTCGGGGATTCCCAGCATGCTACCGTGGGGAAAGAACTCAGGTGGTTAGACACTGTGGCACTGTCTCTTGGAGCCTCCCCTATCGAACTGTTCATTGCAAGAGCTAACTTTAAGGCTAACATGGTAGCTCTGGCTAGGGGTGCTTGCCTAACATCTCAGGTGATGGATGCTCGATCCTGGAGCTCACATAGGAGAAGATAACTGACTAGTACAAGTTTTTCTCTGACTTCCATATAAGCACTGTGGCACACATTGGTATGTATACACATACCCACAAACTCACACACATGCACGCACGCGCACATTTTGGACATAAAGGCTGGATCACGGGTGTTTTAGTTCATCTTCAGTTGTGTAGCAAATTCAAAGCCAGTCTGGGAAACATGAGATGCAAAACCACATACAAAAAGTGATTGGATATATAACTCAGTCGATAGAGTGCTTGCCTGATGTGTACAAAATATGTTAATTCGCTAATACTACATAAACCAGGTGTGTGGGAGAAGGTGGAGGCAGGAGGACCAGAGATTCAAGGTCATTCTTGGCTACATTGTGAGTTTGAGGCCAGCCTGGGATACACTAAGTCCTGCCTCAAAAATATAGAAATTATCTGGGCAGTGGTGGTGCATGCCTTTAATCCCAGCACTCGGGGAGGCAGAGGCAGGCAGATCCTTGTGAGTTCGAGGCCAGCCTGGTCTATACAGTGAGTTCCAGGATAGCAGAGTATGGGACTTGACTTGGTTTTCTAGTAGGGGCATATATTTGTGTAGGGTTCCATTTGCTTGCTCCCTCCTCTTTTTAAAAGTCACTTTGTTGTTGCTGCTGTTTAGATACATTTATTATATTATTTGGTGTTTGATTGCATGTACACCTGCTCTCCAGAAGAGGGCACCAGATCTCATTATAAATGGTTGTGAGCCACCACGCAGTTGCTAGGAATTAAACTCAGGAACTTTGGAAGAGCAGCCTCTGCTTTTAATTTCTGAGACATCTGTCCAGGCCTCTCTCTCCTCTTCTTAAGATGGGGTCTCATGTAGTCAAGGTTGGCTTCAAGTTTGCTCTGTTGCTAAGTATGACATTGAACTTCTGATCTTCTTGCTTCTTCCTCAAGTCCTAGATCTGGAATCACAGGTATGTGCCATTATGTTTTCCTTCCACATATTTTCTTTCATTTTTGTTTATTTTGTGTATGTGGCTGGGGTTGATGCGCACAGATACCTCTGTGTGGAGGTCAAAGAACAACTTTCTGGAGTTTGTTCTTTTCTTCCACATTTTACATTCCCAGAATCAATCTCAGATCTTCAGTCTTAACAGGAAATGCCCTTATCTGCTGAACTATCTCACTGGTTCCTTATATGTTCATATAACATATTTTCACCTGTTATGAAAATATGGTTTAGGATTAGGCTAGAGAGAATATGAATGCAGCTTCTTTGTTTCATTTCCTCCAAGGGTTTCTTAGGCTTGTCCTCACACCAAAACCCTTCGTGGAGCTTTTAAATATCTACATGCTCGGACACCTAGTGATCTATTACAGTGCACACCCAAGAATAGGACCTATTGCTGATCCATTGCTAGCTGCACTCATGCCTCCACCTCCTGAGTGTTGGAATTAAAGGCATGCACCAGAATGCAGTCATTTAGTAGGAACTAGTACAGCTGGTTTTCTTATTCGTGGGTTTCATTCTCAAGGTCAAGCAACGATAGATAAAAAAATTTCCCCAAAAAGAAAAATTGCACGTGTACTGACATACAGACTTTCTGATTATTCCCCAGACAATAGAGCGTGACAGCTATTTACACAGCTTTTACGTTTCAACAGGTATTGTAAGTATCCTAGAAGTAATCGCCAGTATGTGGCAAGAACAGGCCACGTGCTAATAACTGCACCATTTCACAGAAGGGATTGAGCAGCCTAGGATTTGGGTGCCATGGGAGGCCTAGCTGCCAGTCTGCAGGTCCTGAGGGACACTGTATAGCCTGTATAGAAAACCCACTCTCGTGGTTTTCTGCCCAGTTCTGTTCAAACCATTACCCAGCTTCTCCTTCTTTGTTCCCAACAGTCAGCTCCTGATGCAGAATACTTCGCTGACTGTTCCAATTTTAGATGTCTTTTCCAGTCTTCAACTTGACCCAAAGTTCCTGTCTGAGGTAGGGAAGATCCTGCTTCACAGAAATAGGAAGAAATCATGTATAGTGAAAGAAAATAGCTCTTTGAAACTATGCACACAAACATTAAAATATCACACTCTACACTTGCGTGCACACACACACACACACACTTATCATTACTTAAGGATCAAAAACCAGGGCCTTATAAATACTATAACACTAAGCCAAAAACAGTCTCTTTACTTTTTTTTAATTCACATTATCTGACCATGTAGCCCTGACTGTTTATCAAACACTAGATCTTCCTGCCTTAGCCTCCCCAGCGCTGGGTTAACACATGTGTGTCCCCAGGCCTGGCTTAAGCAGTGCAATTTGGTTGGGTTTTGTTTTACTTTTTACTGTGCTGGTGAAACCCAGGGTCCCACAAATGCTAGGCAGACATTTCATCACTGAGTCACACTCCCAACTCTTAAGGGGTTAGCCTGTGTATGTGTGTATATGCACGCATGTATGTATGTGTGTGTGCATGTGGAACCCAGAGACAGAGTCTCTCACTGCATGGAGCTTACTAGCAAGCTCAGTAGATCTGCTTGTCTCCAAAGCACCCATGCTGGGATTATAAGCACTTCTAGCTGTGCCTGGCTATTTTTGCATGAGTTTTAGGGATCAAACTCAGGTTTCATGCAGAGGCTGGGAATATGGCTTAGTTGATAAAGTGCTTGCCTAGGATATACAAAGCTGTGACACCCAGCGCCGTATAAACTTGGTGTCATGGTGTACACATAAATAGGAGAAGAGTAGTCTGGAGGAACAGAAGTTCAAGGTCATCCTAAGCTATATAGTGAGCTCAAGGCTAACCAGACACGCTAAAACCCTCATGGAAAACAAGAACAACATGTTTTTACTTCTTTTGTAACTTTTTAGATATAAGTGTTCTGGAATTTAGCCGGGTTTTATTTGGCAGTTTCCTCATCTGGCTTTAATTCCCTTCTAAGTAACACAGAAGAATTATTCCAGAAGAGAGTTAGCTTGTCGTCATTCTTTCTGTCTGAGTAGCATCCAAAGACAAACCCTCTAGGAACAAGTCCATAAACCTGGTGGTCATTAACAATTCAACCGGGGTCAGTGGTGAGGGCAGCAGCGGGGAGCCCTCCTATTGTCAGCTGTGAACTCAGGCTCTGAAATGTTAAGACTATGTTATCACTTGTCTATGTTAGAAAAATCTTTGACATTTATAGTTGTGAAAGTTTATAATTTGGAGAAGAAAAATGTCTTTCTTCCTAAACTACAAGTAGGAAAATGAAATGAGAAATGAATTTCCTAATGGGTCTACATTGAGTTAGAGTATGAAGGGTTTTGTGCTTCTGATATTTAGATCCGAAAGGTGGTGATGGGCAAGCTGTCATCCGTCCGTCTAGAGGATTTACCCGTGATAGTAAAGTTCATTCTTCATTCTGTAACAGACACCACTTCGCTGGAGGTATGCTACTATTTCTTACCAAGCCTACTTATTAAAATACATGAGAAAATTATTTAAATTTAAGTAGAGCAATGTGCTGGTTTCTGACCCTAGACTGATAATGCTGATTACTCCAGATAGCTGTTGGTGGAGAACACAGCTCAGTCTGGTTGATTACTCAGCATAAGCTGCTACAGGCTAGCATTGGCTGTTTCTGTGTAGACAATGCCTACATACTTGAACGGTTCTCATCCAGTCTACTGGCATGCCTCGTGTTACAGGTCAAGTGTTTTCCTCAGTATTTTGGGTTGTTAAGGTTCCAGTGAGAGAGCGGCCTATGCCTGTCCACTAAGAGTGAACAGAATACATGGCTAAACTGACTTTCCGTAGGTGATCTCTGAGCTTCGGGAGAAGTTGAATGTGCAGCACTTCATTTTGCCGTCACAAGTTCAGGCTTCCCAAAGCAAGCTGAAAAATAAAGGATCAGCAAGGTATGGAATCATTTGCAATTGCCATTCTTTTTCCTTGCATAACCATATTTCTCACCTTTATCCTGAAGCCAGGTAGTTATTAGATCATAATAAAGCACAAATACTGGTAGCAAGGCTATATTCACACACAGCACAACAGGGATTTAAAATTGTGTGTGTGTGCTTTCCTAGCCATTCAAATCCACATAGTCTACAGTGCATGTTTTTCAGTATTTTACAGGTGAGGTTGGGACTTGCTCCAGAACTTATAGTTAATAATCAAAAACTCAGGCACTGGAAAGATGGTTTGGTGGTTAAGAACACCGGTTGCTCTTGTAGAGGATCTGAGTTCAATTCCCAGCATACACATGGTGGCTTTACAGCCATCTGTAGCTCCAATTCCATGGGCTCTAAGGAACTGCAGGGGCACTGTGTCCACACATGGTACACAGGCATACATTCAAACAAAACACCCATACACATACAATAATTATTTTTAAGAAATAAAAAGTTAGGAACTCAGATCTTATAAGATCTTCTCTGGTAAGTAGAAGAAATAATGTTTCCTGCTTTGCTGTTTGTAGCTCTTCAAGAAATCAAGAAAACAGCGATAAGGACTGTGTTGTTCTTGTCTTTGACGTAATAAAGTCAGCCATTAGATACGAGAAAACTATTTCAGAAGCCTGGATTAAGGTGAGTAAGATCCTTGTAACTTTGAGCTTCAAGGTGGTCCAAGAGTGTCAGTCAGGGACAGATGTGTGAGGTGAGATGAAATAAAAGTCTTAAAATTGTCATTCAAGTATAACTGATAATGCTGGGCAGGTGAGCAGGACATGTGGAATGAAGCATGTGTAGCATGCTCTACTGATAGGTTATAATGTGTGGCCCTTGATTTTCTAGGCGATTGAACGCATTGAGTCAGTGGCTGAACATAAGGTAATGGTCTTGTGCTTTGAACTTAAATTGCGTTGGCTATTGTACTGTCCTCCATTTTGTCTTCCCTGCAGTTACCCTTCTATAGCTGCTCTGACAATGCCGGGTGTGTGGACAAGACAACTCAGGAGCAGTGGCTTTGCCTGTGGTGTGCTCTTACCTGTTAATTCTGGAAATGAACTTAGCCTACAGTGTTCAGTAAGGAATAGGAGGCTGTTCCACTCACATGAAATTATAGTCATAGAAGCAGTACCTTACCAGGGCCATGAGTTCGGGCTGGTGTTACAGTTATTTTTATTAATTATGCTTGTTTCTCTTAACATGGCTATCATATAAATAATTGAGAGTCTTTATATTTGTTTATAATATGCTTCACAGCACCAAACTGAGCAGTTATTACTCTACTCTTAACCCTCTTCAGTAATCAGGTTTCCTCCCAGTGTACATCCCAGGATACTTGCACATTGTAGCTTTCCTGCTGAGCTCTCTCTCCTGGTGTCTCCTGACTTCTCCCCATGGCTGAATCCCCATGGCTGAATTCCCTCCTTCCTCTCTAACTCCTTCTCCTCTGGATGGCAAGAAGTCCAGTCCTAGTCTGTCCCCTGCTCAGGGATTAGCTGTAAACTGCTTTATTGGGGAACAGAGTTTATACATTGAGACAAGCTTTGCAACCAGATATGGGGATGTGGAAATCAGCATTTGAATTATACAATAATCTTACACCTATGCATTCCCCTTTTACTAGCTTTCCTCCTGCGAGGAAGAGTTGTCAAGACAAGGACATTTTCTGTTTGATTTTACTTTGCCCATGTAGTTCTGGCCTCAATAGGTTAGTTTTTCCACTGTAAGGCAGGTGGAAATGGTACTGGATCTATCTCCCCTTCCTTATGTTTTTGTCTCTCTGTCTCTCTCTGTGTCTGTGTCTCTGTCTCTGTCTCTGTGTGTGTGTGTGTGTATGTGTGTGTGTGTGTGTGTGTGTGTGTTTGTGACATCTGCAATCCAAGGCGGCTTAGAACTCACTGTTAAACTCAGGATAATTCTCTTGCCTCAGTTTCTATGTGCTGGGATCACAAACAGGAGCCACCGTGTCTAACTTGTTTATCTTTTAGTCCTAGAGACTTCTGTGAAGAAGCTGGCTGGCTGTGCCTGCTTACACTATTTGTCATGTGGGATTTTGTTAGTTGAGAGTCCAGCTATTAGATGACAGTCTCAAAAGTTTCTATGAAACAGAATAAATGATAAAAATAAGTTTTATTGATACAGAGACCCATCTAACTGCCTTCAACTCACTGTAGCTGAAGTTAACCTTGAACTCCTGATCCTCTTCCCTCTACTCCCATGTGCTAGGATGACAGACATTTGCCACTACGAGTACCTTGAAAATGATCTTGGTGAGACAGCAGATAATCCAGGTTTTTTGATTTGTTTTTGTTTTTACACAAAAAGTAAATTCACAGCTTTTGCCATTTTTTACAGACTTGCAACCATGAGCATGGTTTAAACACACGTTTGTATTCTTTTGACAGTTTTTTTGTTTTGTTTCGTTTTGTTTTTGTTCTCTGAGACTGAGTTTCTCTGTGTAACAGGCCTGACTGTCCTGGAACTCGCTTTGTAGACCAGGCTGGTCTCAAACTCATGGAGATCCCCTTGCCTCCACCTCCCCAGTGCTGGGATTAAAGGCATAGTGCATTGGGTCTCTTTGGAGATCGGGATACAGGTGGTGAGAAACCCTGTCTCAAAAAAAATAAATAAATAAATAAAATAAAAAATAAAAAGGGTTAGCTTATACTGGATTTTTGTGGCTTTGTTATATTTTAAAAACAATTATCATAATTTATTTAACCTTTTATTAAAAAACATTTATAGTCTTTGTAACTTTTCATAAAGCAATTTTCCTAATTATGAAAATATATAGTTGTCAAGTGATTTCATCTATTTTTTTAAACAAAGGTAAAGATATTCAAAATTCGACTTTAATATAACCTTTCTCAATTCTCAGTTCTGATATATTTTAGGAAATACCAATGGATAGTAGTTGTTGCCCTTTATTTCTCTGGGTTCTGTAATGGTGTGTGAGTTCCATGGGTGCAGAGTGAGCAAGTGTGTGCCACTGTTGTGTTTCAGTAGAAAACGGCTGAGCTCTGGTGTGTCTGCTCCCTGACAGGCTTTAGACGTGGCGATGCTACTCATCTTCTACAGCACCAGCACACAGACAAAGAAGACCACTGAAAAGGTGCTGAGAAACAAGATTCAGTCAGGCTGCATTCAAGAGCAGCTCCTTGACAGCACCTTCTCTACACATTACTTGGTAAGTGTGGGATACAGCACGTGGTAGGAGATAGGAGATACAGGTGGAAAGATGGCTGAGAAGATGGTGTTTTACCATTCTCTGCAGCATGTGGAAATCAAGAAACACCTTTGCCTCGTATTGATCTTTGATAGGAGCTCAGCATGTTTCAGAGCTGTAGAGCAAGTGCTCTGTTGGACTGAGACGATGATATCAGTGAGCCAACCTAAGATGGACTTTGACCCTTCCAGGAGGACGTTAACAAAGTTAGTCCATCTTGAACTTTTCTGACTTAAATTCCAAGTCCTTTTGTCTTTTGGATTTTTATAAAAATATTTATTTTTATTTTTACAAACGTGTTTTTGTCCCTGTGTATATGCCACATGTGTGCAGGTGCTCTTGGAGGCCAGAAGAGGGCATTGTATCCTCTGGAACTGGAGTTACAGGTAGTTGTGGGTTAGCTGATGTAGGTGCTGAGAACCCAACTTGGGCTGTTTGAAGAACAGCAAGCACTCCTAACTGTTGAGCCACCTTTCTTGCCCCAGTATAATTTTTTAAATATGTTTTGATTTTTGTTTCTTAGCGAGAGCCTCACTATGTAGTCTCGGCTGGCCTGAAACTTGGTATGTAGATCAGGTTGGTCTTGAACTCACTCACATCCACTTGCTTCTGCCTCCCTAGTGCACTGCTGCACCTGGGTATTTGTTTTTTGACAATATCAGTAAAGAAGATGGAATTACTAATGTTGTTTACTTTGTGTCCCTTAATATCTGTCTATATTGGTTTTTTGTTTTGTTTTTCGAGACAGGGTTTCTCTGTGTAACAGTCTCTGGCTGTCTTGGACTCACTCTGTAGACCAGGCTTTTTTCAAACTCATAAAGATCCTCGTGCCTCTGCCTCCCAAGTGCTTCAACTAAAGGTGTGTGCCACTCTACCCTGCCATGTGTTGCATGATTGCTAGGACCTGGTCACTTTTCTTTTTATAACAGTTATTCAAACAATTTAGTTTGGGAGCCTGGAGAGGTAGCTCAATTGGTAAAGTACTTGCCGCACAATCATGAAGATCTGAACTTCCTTCCCAGTGCCTTCAACAAAACAGAGCATGGTGACACACGTTTGTAATCACAGTCCTGGGGAATGGGAATAGGCAGGTTCCTGGGGTTCACTAATCAACCAGTCTAGCATTTGTTGAACCCCAGGTCCCAGTGAGGGCCCCTGTCTTAGAAAAAGAAAGAAAGAAAGAAAGAAAGAAAGAAAGAAAGAAAGAAAGAAA